ATCGCCTTTTACGATCTCTATGGTGAGAGTGGGCCTATTCTATCCCCGAACCCACAGAGGGTATTATTATTATTATTATGGTCGGTGTTTCTTGTGAGGACTCAGATCTATAGCGTAGGCGGTACAAATTTTTTCGCTGCATTTTGTGACAAAAGCATGAAACTCGGTACACGTGTTCATTAGGTCCAAATAAAACTTTTGACCCGCAGCACCCACCGAAATTTTCGTGTGGGTTCAAAATTTGAACACTTTTGTTCAAAAGGGTGTTCAAGATTTTAAACCTGTAAAAATTGACGAATTTCGGCATTTTAGGGGTCGTTTTTGAATTATTTAGGGTCGCTGGTGCCAATGGCGGCATTAAAAAAGTTGCATATCTGACCCTTAGGCCCCAAATTTGGAATATTTTCAAAATAATGGTTAAATTTTGATGTTTCGGATGTCGATTCCAGTTAATTTGGACTTGCACTGCACGCTAGAAATGTTATATTGAAGTTAAAACAGTTTCTGGTGTATAAATAGGCCGTTAATTGTTCAATAATTTGTTCAAAATTTGGAAATTCCATACTTGAAGGATTTTGCCGTTCTTGGTGTCGTTTCCATATAATTTGTGGTGATGCTGATTTTGTATTCAGAAAACAGATGCGACTCATAGTTCGGCCCTTTTAATACTATTTTACCTATTAAGAGGGAATGTTCGGCGCAGTCATATCCTTGTTGCCCCGGATTGCAACAACTATTGAATGACAAAGAAAGACGAAAGAGACGGGCTTTTCATTAAGATTCGGAAGTGGACATGTTCTCTGACGGGATATGCCGCCTATGCTTCCATTATTGCCCTCCCGGCATCGTTTGTTGGGAAATCTGTACTTCCAGTCAGTCTTGAGCTCACTCCACGACAAGTAACATCACGCAGCGAGCAAGTTCCGTCCGACTTGTGCCCCTTGAAGCAAGAGTCGCCAGCTGATGGCCCAGAGATAGGCAAGTTGACATATGAAGGATAAAAAAATTATTAACTGTAGGTATAGTGCAGAGCACATAAACTTTTACTGTTTTACTGTCTTACCTCTACAACCACAATAATTGTAATAAGGAATTATCGGTCAAGAAAACCAAGACACTTTGGTTGCTTTGCATTTTGCTACTTTTTTTAATCTCTAGACGGGGGCAGCTTCCCTTCCCTGCCTCCTCTGGCGACGCCCTTTCTTTGAAGTGAGGATATCGCAACGATACCGCGTGAAACGCCATCGATCGCGACGCAGTGCCTAGGTGTTCCCAGAAGTCGCCGAGGCAGCCCCCAAAGTCCATCAGACGGCGGACGATACGATTAAGCCGCGAGTCACAGGCGTTTTAGGCCCTGTGCGTCGCGGTAGGAACTCTAAGCGCATATTAAGAGACCGTTACCACCATGACCTGACCAGCCAGAAGCTGGTTCTGACCGCCAGTCTTCGAGTGCCTCTTCAGGTACATCAATAGCACTGGTATAAGACTGAACTTTTAGTAAAAGTTGATCCAATTTAGCCCCTTGGAACTTCGATGCACAGGCTTTGTGCCACTTTGTTTTGATATGAATGAAAGCAGCTTTAATCCTCTTCCCTTCGTTGAGTTGTTGTACCAGATAACCGGCATCTAGCGTGTATGCATAGGGAACCCGAACCAGCTTCCGGCTGGTCAGGTCATGGTGGTAACGGTCTCTCAATATGCGCTTATATTAGAGTTTCTACCGCGACGCACAGGGCCTAAAACGCCTGTGACTCGCGGCCTAATCGTATCGCCCGCCGTTTGATGTACTTTGGGGGCTGCCTCGGCGACCTCAGGGCACGCCCAGGCACTGCGTCGCGATCGATCGCGTTTCACGGTATCGTTGCAATATCCTCATTTCCAGGGGGACGAGTCGGACGGAACTAGCTCGCTGCGTGATGTTACATACTTGTCGTGGAGTGAGCTCAAGACTGATTGGAAGTACAGATTTCCCAACAAACGATGACGGGAGGGCAATAATGGAAGCATAGGCGGCATATTCCGTCAGAGAACATGTCCACTTCCGAATCTTAATGAAAAGCCCGTCTCTTTCGTCTTTCTTTGTCATTCAATAGTTGTTGCAATCCGGCACAACAAAGGTATGACCGAGGGTATGACTGCACCGAACATTCTCTCTTAATAGGTAAACGTGTATGAAAAGGGCCTAACTATGAGTCGCATCTGTTTTCTGAATACAAAATCAGCATCAGCAACCACAAATTATATGGAAACGACACCAAGAACGGCAAAATCCTTCAAGTATGGATTTTCCAAATTTTGAATAAATTATTGAACGATTAACGGCCTATTTACACACCAAAAACTGTTTTAACTTCAATATATGTAATATTTCTAGGTAGTAGTGCACGTCCAAATTAGCTGGAATCGACATCCGAAACATCACGCAGGGTTAAAACTATCAAATTCAAAATTTAACCGTTATTTTGAAAATACTCCAAATTTGGGGCCTAAATGTCAGATATGCAACTTTTTTAATGCCTCCATTAGCACCAGCGACCCTAAATCATTCAAAAACGACCCCTAGAATGCCGAAATTCGTCAATTTTTACTGGTTTAAAACCTTGAACACCCTTTTGAATAAAAGTGTTCAAATTTTGAACCCACACGAAAATTTCGGTGGGTGCTGCGGGTCAAAAGTTTTATTTGGACCTAATAAACATGTGTACCGAGTTTCATGCTTTTGTCACAAAGTGCAGCGTTTACCTCGATATTCAGTTGTACCGGCTACGCTATATCATGTCTCATTTAAGCGCTTTCATGTTACCTCCTGTTCCTGCTTCTCCAAGCTTGTGCCGTCATTGTTAAGCATGTACTGTATCTGTATCTCCATAAGCACCATACTGCATCTGTAGGTGTAAACGCGCTATAGAATCATTGCAAAGAAATGTCTCCATAAATAAGAAAGTTGGCATTGTGCATGCGCACATTGATCGTCAATAATTTTTTCGGCTCGGATGCCACTAAAAAAGAACGAACTAAATAGGTACATCAGGGTGTTATCCATAAGTATGTAAAAAATTTGGTGGTAGAGGAGACCAAAACATCGGGTTTTTGAACATGAAAATAACAAACCTGAAAGTAGTTTTCGAAAATTCGGCAATTCTTGGCCGGACAACTAAAATGAAGAGAATTCAACCAAATTTGTTGTGTACTTGGACCATTATACACCATGCGGAAGTGGATGCCAGTTTTATTGTAAGTAATAATAAAAATAAGTTTATTTCTGTTAATATGATTATACACAATAAGATGATCGTAGTACCACAGATGTAAATATACTGCCATTGAATTATACTATTTACATCTGTGGTAGTAAGGAAGGTGTAAAATCTAGGATAAAAAAAGCATTTGAGCAAAAGCGGGACTTGCTAAGTTCCGGGATAAATATAGGAATAAGGAAAAGGCTGCTAAAAATTACATATATGGAGTATTAATAGATCTATACCGATGCGAAACCATTACGATGGAAAACAAAAGTAGGATAAAAGCATTCGACATATGCTGCTATATAGAAGAATAATGAGGAGTAGCTGGATGGATAGGGTAACAAACGAAGCAGCCTTAGTGTAGAGGAATATAGGAAATGTGAAAACCGTAGAGAGAAGGCGAGATAGAATTGAGTGAAAATTACTCAATGATAGAATGATAGGCGCGTGCATGGACACGGAGGTTTAGTACACATATAGAAGGTAATGTCAGTGAGAAAGAGAGGGGTAGGACATCAGAGGCGTAGGTACAACAGACCTTTAGGCTATGAAAGAAAGGTACAGACCGAATGACGTAGGCAAGGACAGTTATATTAGCGCGGGATAGGAAAGGGCGGAGGACTAACGAATCCTAGGAGACTCCGAGAAGAAGAACTTAAACAAGTTGTAAATCAGCATATGTTTGATTAAAGCGCATTTTTGGTAATGCAAGTCAGTATTTTATTAGCGAAGTTTAAAATTATCGATCTCACGAGTAATTTTGGCTGCGTTAAATAATTAATTTTATTTAATTTCAATTGACGGTACGTCTTCATTTTGTAAAACAAATCACAAAGTAAATAATAAGTTTTTATACTGGTAACGCTATCTAACGGTAAAATTATAGCACCTCCGAAACCCATATCGAAATTATTTTCTTCAATTATCGATCTCACAAGTAATCTAACTCAAAATAGACTAATGCCTGCACATCTACACTATAGCAGAAAGCTTTTAGTGAAAATTTGAATTCTCTAGCTATTGTAGTTGTGGAGATCTAACGCGGACAGCCGGCCTGCCAGCAATGACGAATATAATAGCGTATTTTTTTCAAAAATGCGCTAAAAATCTTAAAGCGACAAAATTTTCTTTTTCCACAACTAATTAACGGGAAAAATACAGGAAATTCTTGTGAAACGCAAAAATCCGACCTTCGCTCAGTTAGCGAAACGGGGACTTTCAAAAAAACACAAATGGGGACTAATTTTGTTTTCACAACTAACTAGGCACAAGAAGCGGTAATATGATTTTTTCGGAGATGTTTCGCAAGTAAGATATTGAGATTTTATTTAAATTTTCAAATGAATCCTTGCGTTGAGTGAAAGAATCGATTCTTTCACTCAACGATCCTTGTCTATGATGATTCTTCTTCTGATAATCTGATCTAGTGATATAGTTGCCTATGCGCTCAGGAGACATCAATCCCACTTGAAAATCTAAAAGGCTGTACAGGGAGATGCGCGTTATCCTATCCTGGTCCAGAACATTATAATATCTCCCTATTTCCCTGCTGAAGGTGAAAAGTAAGAATAGCTAGGAAAATGTAAAATGCATCTACAGAAACCTGATAAATTAATTGAAATTCTATATGGATCCGTATTTATTTCATTACCTACTGCATATGACGTAATGAACGACAAATGACATCACCACGAACTTCAACGATAAATTCCGATTATTACAGGTACCAATAACACCTGAAATCCTTGCTTTTGCTTTCTACCGAGTTTGGCATAAAAAATTTCAACGATCAGTTAGACCGCAAGACGGTGGTCGTATATGGTACGTACAAATAACGGGTAGTAACCAAACGCAATATGTTTCTAAAAATAATAAAACGATAGTGCAAAATAAAATTTCTTAGTTTCATTGGTGAGCGTGTTTTATAAATGACCGAAAAAGGCAATTTGGGAATTTTTTTTGTCATTTGAAGACTGATTAGGTTTTATTATTTTCTGTGATATTGTGTATAAGTGTTTTTTTAAAAGGTAGGTACTTTTGGATTTATTTGAGTATGCTAACGCATGTGCGGTATTCCGCCCAGCTAAAAATTATTTAAAAGTGAAGGAGAAAAAAATGTTAATTGTGAAATTATACAGTTTTCAAGGAGACTGTTGCGTGTAGGAAAATTGCAATGCTACTTTACACTTCATTAGAGGGGAAATCACCAAAGCTGTATTTGATTTTTCCTTACCCACCCCTTCACGATTATAAGAATATTCATAAAAAAAGTTGAAGATCGCAAATTCAGTTTTCCCAATAGCAATTGCTAAGAAATATCGACTCTACCTTTGATTATAATAACATCATGCATGTCGGTCCATAAGGATATGCTCTGCAGTTATCTACATCTTCGAACTTCATTACATCATTTTGGAGTAGGTATCATGTAAATGTTTTAACAAACAGGTAGTTGTACCTACTTTGTCAACACGTACCTATTTTCTATTTAAAACATGGACTGAAGAGTTTTTCGTTTCGTTTTCCATACGTGAAACTCGGCACGTATTTTAGCAATGGCATATTAAACGTCTCATGAATTTTTAAGTCATATAGTAGGCAGCATCTTTTAGACATACCTACATAGGCGTAAAAAGTTATAACTAGATAGATGTGGTTAATCCAAAGAATCTTTTGTCGTTCTGGTCTCGGGGCTGTGCTACACCGTACTACCAGTTTTCATATAACATACATGAATACTCCACTAGGTGTAGAGACAATATTAGCTCAAAATCTATTCGACTTACAACATCTCGGAACTGTAGTAACTATTACGGGATAAAATGTTATAATAAGTTACCCTCAAATCGCGTCTTTTATCTTTCAATAAATTAAAAAATGAGGTAAGTAAATACCTTAAATTACACCCTTTTTATTCTGTCGATGAATTTTTAAATGCGGAGTGGCATCTGTAACTAGGTATTACTACTTTTTTTCTTTTGTAGTACATGTTTTTGTTTTGTTTCTTTAGTGTTCGTTTTATCTACGCTACTTGACGAATCTGATATAGTCTCAGCACTATCATAGAGTATTTACATTATTATTATTATTAATATAAGAAAGAAATCACAACGAAAAAGCTTAAACTGGAGGACTAGTAGTGGTACAGACAGACAGTACCTACTGTCAGACAAAGTGTGGACGGTATAGTATCGTTCATGTTCCTTATAGAAAATGCGTTAAAATGGCGTCAAGATTTGCGTTTATTGGTAGTATCTGCAGTTATTTTTTATCTGAAGTATCTTTACAAATAAATAAATCGATCATTTTATCGCCTAAAACATTCTTTTGCACACCCATGGATCCTTGGATGTTTTCCCTTAGTGAGAACCCCTCGGAGCACCCTCTTCCGATACTCCCTTGTGAGTACCTACCCTCTTGCGACATTTGGTTGCGAGATATCCACATTTGAAGTTTTCATCTACCGATGGATGCGCCCCTTCTACACCCATTTCGAGGTATTCATCTTTTGAAATTTTGCATGCTGTAAACAATTACTTTTTCTTGTGCAAACGTAGAAGGTCAGAATAGGTTTGCGCAAATATGAAGATCTTTTCATCAATTTTTTACCCGCCATGTATGCTATAACCCCTGAAATTACAAACGCAACCTTCTACATAACTTCATTGCTGTTCTGAGACACTTAAACGTACAGACGGACACAGGTCACACAGGTATGAGCTGTATTTTTCATGAACAATGCGGTTACAAGTTCTATAAACATTTCGAAAATGCTCCCTAAGATTCCTAATAAAGTTTCTAGTAATTACGTCAAATGGAATCTGTTCAGTACAAGAAAATAACAAATTTCAAGTGCAAATTTGTTGTTAACTTGTTGCTGTAAAATAAAAGTGCAAATGTGGGTATGCAGAAATTGTTGTCCACTTTGAGCAACAAATTAGTAATGGTGAGCGTAGATTCAAGTGTCACTTTTAATGTTTATAGTAATATATAGTAGCTGCAACAAATTCAGTTACTTATAAATTGTTGTCAACTTTAGTATAAAGACCTATTTTATGAATTTGGATGGACATACGTAATCATGGGGGATGTTCTGACATTTCCAATCCAAATAAATACGAAATCCATACTCACTTTGGAGAATATACCTTTTCGTTGAGAATGAGAACTGTGCGGCAAACAACATTTGGCTGCAACTTGATAAAAAAACTGTCGTTGGTGGTGCCTCTTACCCGAGTCTCCTCCACTCCATCCTACCTTGTATTCATTAGGGCGAGGTCTTCACCCCCTTGTTAGAATTTGACAATTACTGCTAAACTATATATTTTTTGAAGCATCAGACCATTTTCTCTGGGTATAAAGGGTATATTTTATTTTGAGTCAAGATTTCTTCACTTGCCCAAAACTTGGTAGGTAATGGCACATTTTTTCACGGTGGTTTCTTATGATACTGAGGGAACTCCAAAATATTAAGGGTCGGACAGCTCTTGGTTAACTGCGGTAATTTAAAAATTGGAAATAAAACAATTTGTTATTAAGTGAATAGTAATTCACTAAAATAATCGTTCGATCTTGTTTCAGGAATACAATGGATAGTGGACACTACCCGGTTATTGTGGTCCTGTTGCTCGTTTCTTTGGTAAGTTGAAATCAAGTTTTCGATTATATTGGATGAAATTCATTTAGTGTTACAAAAGTTTTGAAGGGTTTCAAGTCGTACATTCCTATATAGTTTGCATTGCTATGTACTCTAAAATAAGTAATTCTTACGTTATGCCCTACACTTCAATTGTAATAGTTGTTTATATATAAGACGATAACCGGGATATTTTAACCAGTGAGTGAAAGACGAGATGGTTAGGTTCCCTTTATCGTCATGTACATACAAAACTTTATTTTATAGCAGAAGCCATATAAATCATTGTAAAGCTTCTGACAATTCTGAATTTAATTTAGATGTCAAAAATAGCAAGCTTATAGGGTCTGCCGTTGAGGTCGTTTCGATAGAAACAGCATTGTATTCTGTTCTGAACTCCATTTCATTTCGTTCGCCGCGTCCTATTTGAAATAAGAATGACAGATGTCATTAAAATACATCTGTTTCACTTTATCTACCCTTACGGTTAAAGAGAGATTTACTCAAACCTATTACAATTTCAATTTACTATCTGCTATAAAATAATTAAAATGTAGGTACTATTCTATTCCTCCAGGAAAGTGAGATCATATCTAAACTTTAAAGTTTAGATAATATCACATCTGCTGGGTAGATAACACACATGCGATTTTTTCTTAAAAATGTGGTACCTACATAGAAAAGAGGTTGCCGAAGGCATTTGTTGTTTATATTTGCATTAAAGTTTTTTTCTAAACTATTATACCTACTAGTACATACTACCATTGAATAATAAATCAGATTCTTTATTCAATGTTGTTACTACACTATATACTTATCTGTAATATTATTTTAATTTTTAGATTCGAGTTTCCATCGACGCCGCCACGTTGTCGTCAACACCGCCAAGTAAGTATCAACAATTAAAACTAAATTACATTTCACTGCCATCTCTCGTATTCATATACCTACACTATCTTTTACGTACATATAAATTTACATCTGTAAGCTCCGCACGAAGCTAAACTTTAGGGACGGGGTTACATGATGTGGAATTAGCGACATCCGGGCGCCATCCCCGAGCCTAGTTTACTAACACGGTGATTTTTCAGTTTTTTCCTATCTTCTTCTACAGTTTGGGTCCGATTGTTGTCAAACTGGTGTCCTCGGAACCACCTTTTGCAAGGCGCGCGTTAAGGTCAGGCGCCCAAAAGTTACATACCTCTGCGAATGTTGTCTTACATAAATCTTCTTCTCCACACGGTTCGATGTTCACAATGTTCCCATCTTTCTGTCCGTCGGTGTCGCCTTTTTTATATATTACGATCTCCTACTAGAACCTTGCGTGTCAATTTCAATATCTTCAACCCTCAAAAACGTACATATTATGTGGTTTTTCAATTTAAAAAAAACATTCTTCCCCGGAACTCTCTCTTGATACGAGAGATCGATGCATCTAATCTAATGAATGCTTGAATAACTTTGAGCGAACAGATCCCTAGTTCCTACCAAGACGGAGAAAGCCGCTGTTCCCAGTTTAATAACTTAAAATAAGAAAGATTGTTATACTGTTCACCGAGACTATAGAGTAGTTACAGGGTGAGTTTTTTTTTTCATTTTCACTATGGGGATCTCGTAAATCGTAAAAGATACAAAGTCGCTTATTGGGTAAAGTTATGCAGAATTGTATGCTGATTGGTTTTCCATTTCACAGTTTCTTATAGCTCTACAGATAGCGAAGTTATAGAAAACTAAAAATTGTCATTTTTAAGAATGAATGATATTACAAAAATAACATGAACAAACCCTTAGAGAATTTTTCTCAACTTTCTGATGGCGCTAAAATAAAATTCGAGATAAAATTGTTATGGCTTGTGGGTGTCGAGTAGGTAAATCATTTATTTTTTATGAGCGCCATATTGGATTTTTATTCGATAGGGTAACAATTACAAAACCAGTGATACTAAACACTTAGTATTTCGTTTCTGAACCAACCTTGATTAGGTATTTGATTTGAATGTTTTTTCTTATGGCAATAATTCCATAGCTTACTGGAAATTATTTAATATTTTTAGTTTATTGTTTCGCATAGTCACCAGCAACACAGCCGTGGCATGATAGATTGCCATAAGAAATATTATAAACTTCAAGATAAAAGTGAGTGACGTAAAAATCCACTATGGCGTCTATAAGAAATCAGACAGTTGATGTGATGTGACTCGAAACCCACAAGTCCCACTACCAGTAAGCTGAGCAAAATTATTAAGACTTTGTTAAAATAATTCGAGAAATAATTTTTTGATATCTTTGAAAATAAAATGACATTTTTCGGTTTTTGGCCATAAATTCGCTATTTGTAGAGCTACAAGAAACTTTGAAAGGGGAAATTAATTTGATGTATTCATCGTCCTGGAAACAATTATTAAGTCGATATAATTGGAAGTATGGCAAAGTCTACCAATTCGGTTAAACCAATCAGCTAAATTATACACTTTTTCAAAAATCTTGGCACTAAATCAGGGAAAATTCTGCAACTTTATTTAAAAGATGGGCCGTATGCTAATTTATTGTCGTGTATTGTACCTACTACATGCTAACTTATCTTATTCAAATTGTTAAAGAATTATAGGTTTTTGTAGGAGAGAAATTGATTAATTTGGTAGGTACACCAGTAGGTAAGAATTATTAGGTGGTAAAAGTCAAACCGAAGGCGTCGGAGTTGCCTCATTTTGCATGAAATTGAATAATTTTAATTTTAATTGACATTATGTTTGAAACTGAAAACGGACTGGTGAACCACGGGGACACAGAATTAAGTAAAATTAGGAACTTTGAAAAACAATGTTAATGTAAATTACAAATTAAATGAGGTGCATTGTTAAACAATGCGGCCCAATTGAAATAATTACGTAACAATTAAAGTGGAAAGGTACCCCATATTGCATAATACTTCTATAGCTATTTCGCGAATCTCTTAATTTCAGGGGACGACATATTCAGAGGATTTTATTTATTTGTTTTTTTTTAATAAAAAAAAAACTGTTTATGCATCAAGTGTTTTTTTGATTCAAAACCTTGCAATGAGCAAGTTATTAGTATTAAAACCTGGTTTGTTTTACGAAATGGGCGATAACTGTTAATGTGACAATATTAATTCATGACGTACATGAAACAAATCGATGGAGTCTGTAGCCTGCGTCATTGATTTGTGAATCAATTTGAGACAGGTTTTTTTAACGATTTCGCACACTTGATAGTTGTTACAGTGTTTTCGCGTATGTCTTTAATGGATTGACGCAGGGCCACAAAATTGAACGTATAGTGACCCTTATTGGCGGTTTTGGATAAAAATCGTGGTTGTGGTTGCTAAGAAAGAAGTGAATGAAAAAACACTGACTTTGGTGTTTGATCCCTCCTGCCACAAAGTTTTTGTTACATATTCCTTTGTTACACCCTGTGAGCTGTTATGGCAGTGAAAAGACACGATTTAAGTTATTAAAACCCCGAAGTACTAAAATTACCATTTGCATTACCAGATTTGATCGAATTACTCAAATTACATTTAGGTAAAGTTCCTTGAGAATTACCAGAATTACTAACGAATTATTATCATAATCGGAAGTAGGTCGAAGGAGGTGTACAAATTTTCTAAAATAAACCACCCTTCGCAAATTTGATAAAAGTCGATGAAAATGATTTTTTTTAGACAACCGGTTTTCAAAAATCAACCCGTATTTAGTACTCCATATGACTTTAGTGTTTTAAACTGAGCAATTAATCAATTTAACGGTAGTTAGTATCTTTTCCGCAAATAAACATTTGTGACATAATCGTTTTAGGATAACAGCAGTTACGAAAAAGTGCCATTAATTAAATAATGGGTACCTAATACTTTCACATTTCACAATAACATTTAAAAATATGCGCATCCAAATTATACTTGGAACAAATCGATTGCATTAGAAATACCGAATTTTTTAACGTTAAACCTACCGTCCACCTTTC